AACGGGGCGGCAGGAATCAAGTTTCAAGGCGCCGATAGTTTAGGTAATTTCTTTTTACAGTGAAAAGTTTACAGTATTTAAAAAAAAAGTAAATAACATATGCACTGCTTTATAGTTAGTTCAGTTAGTATGCAAAGTTTCATGATCTTATTTAAAGTATTTTATGAATAACAGCGGTTTATTGTTCAGTTTGGAGGTAACTTTGGATTTTTTTTCTATCGAGGAAATTTTACGGAATCGTGTTTTCGTATAACATAGTCCTTAACATTAATCCTCAACTTATTTCAAAATTAATGCTGCAATACTTTCATATATTTATTTCAAAATTAATGCTGCAATACTTTCGGCATAACGGAAGATCTTGCTAAGCCATTTGAGGTTATATTTCCCCTTAAGTAGTGAAAAAGGGTATTTTACGGTAGGGAAAAATTATTGGCAATAAACAGGGAGCTCGGCAGGCGGATTGGCGATGTAACAGATCGCCGGTCTAGGTACTCAATTAAAATTTACTTTTTATTTTGATAGATCCTCAATTAAGAATCAAATTGCATATGCGTTGACTTGATGAGTCCGTGTTGAGTTCTTGTTGAGTCTCTGAGGGCTAAGATATGGAATAAGCGAAAAGGGTGTCTGATTCTCTACACTACCGATACAGCATTATTCTGTTTTTTATTCCATGACAGCGTGGTCCTAGCCCGGTTGAGTCGACCCATTTTTAAAGTAGTCGAGCCATGCTGCAGCTATATTAAGGGTACAACACGGCTCTACCACTTTAAACAAACGATAGTAGCCTTTTACAGCACCCATAGGATGACTTACGAAACATCAAAACAGACTATGAATTTTATGTATTATAATATTATCATTTACAATAACGTTTTCATTTTTTTTTTTAAATATAATATGCCAATAAGAAAGATGAAAAAAATGAGTACGTATTTCTGAATTTTCATACATATTTTATATTTTTTAAGTAGCAGTGTTTTATACACTCAGCGGCACAGAATCTTGGCCAAGTGCTTATCTCGCGATAGCAAAAGCTTTAAAGATAACATATTTTCACTAAAATGTTAATTTTAGTGAAAATATGTTATCTTGAAAAGAAAAATTTGGTCAAGTAAACATTAAATTTCTACGTTCTGAAACCATTAGAGACACTTATTGAATCCATCTACCCTTAATTTACTGTTAAAAAAACGTTTCAGTGCAAATAATCAGCAAATTCACGAGTGGCCAAGTTTCCGTGCCGGTGAGTGTACTTTTCAGTCGTACTTATAACATCCGGTGCTGTTTGATAATATTTGAAAGATGCAAAAACGCTTTTTAAAAACAAAAACCTCGGCGGCAACGTTAGAATATACCTAATAGGAATTTGAAGCAATCGCCATTTGGTTTTTGTGGGAGTCGTATTGATAATTGGTATTATTACCATAAAATTTAATTCGTGACATTCGGGACATACAATGAATCTTATAAGTTATAAGATTCATTTTCACTGCTCAATTAGTGTGTGTTATAAGTTATAACACACACTAATTGAGCGCGTATAACTTCACCAATCCATAGAAATAAGCAAATAGAAAACATTGAGTTATAATGTACTATGTACTAGAGAAGACGCCTCAACTCGAATGTTTGTAACACGCGTTAGAGCGCACGCACTCCAACTCAGTCTGTGTCAAACGGTTGCCGCAACGTGAGACGTTTGAGTGAAGAATTGTTTTTAAAATATATGCCTTCGTGTGCATTGAGATATTGTTCAAACAACTCGAGAAACATAAGTAAAAGTCAAGGAGTGACTTTTCACCAGTAAGTTCAATATATTATCTTTAAAATACGCTTAATTTAATTATATTTTATCAACTGTAATATAAACGTGAATGTCAAAGAGTAAAACATTTTTATGCACAGACGACTTTATCGACGTATAATGTTAAATAATTATGGACAGTAATATATATATATATATATATATATATATATATATATATATATACGTGGTCACGTGGTTTTACTCAATGTGTAGTGTTCGCGTAAATTTAAGTAAAACATATTTTTAACAATAAAAATAAAACCACTTGATGAATGTGAACTTTAACCTATATTTCTAACAAAATTCATATAAGAATGCTACTAGTAACAATAACACGTTGTGGCGGCGCTGTCGCAAGCGAAAACACACCGAAGCCTAAATCACGCTATCAAAATTCCGAATCATAAACAGTATCAGAACATCTCCGAACTATCACACGGAGTGTTGGCCGCTCCCCGGGCAGAACACCTTGCCCGGCGGGAGATCTCCCCTTTTCCTCACCACGGCCACAGTGGTGATCCCGGCGTGATTTGAACACGCAACCAACAACCTTCGGAAACTTCAAGCTTCATCATCGTCATAGAATACCCCGCCCATTCGCTTCCGAGCAGATATCGTCTGCAGTCTTCATATCCTGCAAGTCATTTAGCTTCACAAGGTTCATCGCAGCACAGGAATAATAATGCTTCCTGTTCCTTCAAGCTACTCTCTGCGCTACACAGTGTTCGGCACGGGTCTGAGCCTTACTGCTCACCTCTGCTTCACGGCATTCCCGCTGATTACTTGCCTTCTTCTCGACTCACCGCAGACTACATTCAATCCACTGGCACTTGGACATTCGTCGGCAACGAGGCTGCACTATCGACCTCCGGTCTGAGCAGGGGTGATGTGGCGGCGCTGTCATCGCGCCGCAAGCGAAAACACACCGAAGCCTAAATCACGCTATCAAAATTCCGAATCATAAACAATATCAGAACATCTCCGAATATCACACGGAGTGTTGGCCGCTCCCCGGGCAGAACGCCTTGCCCGGCGGGAGATCTCCCCTTTTCCTCCTGACGGCCACAACTTAATACACCAAAGATAAAACTAGTGATTAAACGAATACGAATGCGATAATCATGTAACGGCAAATATTGTAATTGTAATATATTACGATATCCGTTATCGCAGTACTGAATACGATTCATTACGATACATTATTTTGTAATGAATCTTGATTTACAACTTTTTTTAATGAAACACGATAGGATGAAGGGCAAGCACTTAAAATTTTTATATTTTTAAAATAAAAACCTCCCAATGATAAATTATGAATAATAAAGTCAATCAAAATTAAAATAATTAAAAATAAATAAATAAAATAAAACTCTCTCCATAAAGTTTAATTAAAAAGAAAAATCGTAAAGCATTCGTGTCGTTATTCATAATCGTAATACAAATTACGATATATTCGTAATTCGTATCGGTATCGTAATAGCCGTGTCGTTTCATGGTCAGATAAAACGTTGTTTTTATAAGAAAAATAATGAGCGACATAATGTAATTATAACACATTTCAACAATCAATACTCCACTCAAGTTGAGCCTCAATCAACTTATCAAACATCCGACCGAAACTTTTCAGCTTACTTTCGGTTTCGCCTGTAAATATCGACAGGAACTTTTGCTAAATAACAGTTTTGTGGTTTATTTCTGTTATTTAAAAATAAATTTTTATATACATTATTACTCCATTCAATATTTTATATATATATTATATATAATATATGTATATATATATATATATATATATATATATATATATATATATATATATATATATATATATATATATATATATATATATATTGTTGGAACCTACACAAAGTACTTTTAAAAATGACTATAATTGGCCAGCAACAAACAAGGCCAACAAGATTAAGTTTTGTAGAACCAACTTAGGTCGCGACTCCCAAGTGATCGGTATAATATGTATCTCGCCTGTACAACAAGCTCACCAAAAATGAACCCGACCTCGACGTTCACCATGATACCCTTGCTCAATTTATTGCCAAGCTAATGCATGTTGACGTACGTTAAACTCCAGTTGCACAATCAACTTTTATTTCTTTATCAAATTTATTTTTTATTTAAGAACACATTTTTCTCAACTTTGTTTAACATTTGTAACACAACGCTTGCTGTGATTGCCTATAATTATAAGAGCAGTTAATCATGTAAATTTATAAGGCTGTAATGTAACCAAACATTAATTGTTGTTTCTTATGTTGGTAATCCAAATAAATAAAAAAAATTTGTTAGCAGCATAGCATTTAGTTTTGTAAAACAGTATCCGTATTAGGATGTTTTCCTGTAACGTGGAGGCATTTTACATACCTAGCAAAAATTGCACAAGAACAAAAATCGAGATCACGGATCAATTATCCGTGATAGTGATACGAACCCGCGATCCTGTAGCGTTGCAACCATATGTTAACCAGTGCGCTATTGAAACGTCAATGCTGACTGCATTGACAGGTCTGCAGCCGTGGTAATTATTTAAATTTGATAATGAGTAATATGAAGTATGAATGTTAAACATTATATTAAATGGGTGTTATTATTTACAATAGTGCACATTATATATTTGTATATTGATTATAAATACAAATATAGATTTTATGTAAGTAATAAAATTATAAAGAATATAGAATAAAAATTAGAGTTTACATTTAAATAACAGATGTACAATAGATATTTCAAATTAACTTTAAGTTTTCTTTACTTATATTTTCGTTTTAATGGCCCTATTTATTGATATATTTTTAACTATCATTAGTAGACCAGAGACTTATTTATAATTTAAGTTAACTAGTCTCTCATATTTTTCCTTTTTTAATTTAGAATTACCTCAAAGTTTTTCTGCAAATATAATGTTAATATCCATGGCCCGTGCTAAAACTGAAAGCGCTGAAAAAATACCTCACTCTTGGTATTTGTAGTTGTTTCTTGGTTAGCTTAAGTAAGCCGGTGCAGAGAAAGGTTGCGGATGGGAGTTGTAAAATAAAATAAGTCTATATAACTATTGTGAACTAAATTTTAAAACACCCATATCCCTGTATGAGTCGATATTATGGTACCTTTGTGATTTGCACACAATGACATCTTTAAGCTTTAGAAAATAGAAATATAATAAGGTTCTTACCTTCCAAAGTCGCTCGGTAGGCTGGTGAGCGACATGTCATTAAGGCCGAGCACGGTGAGCGCTCGCAGCTGGCTGAAGCCGGCCGGCAGCCGCGGGATCGGATTGCTGCTGAAGTCCGCGATCTGCAGCGCACGCAGTTTTTTGATGTCCTCAGGAATGTCGGGAATGTCTATGGTAAATATTTAATGTGTCATTAGGAGGAACTGGAATTTAATGTGTTGGCTTATTATACAAATTTAAAAATATTTAAACACGGGTTCATGTTTTTTAATTAATTTATGACGAAAATGTGTTATGTATACATAAATTGCGCAAGTTTCGTCTTATGAGGATGAACATACGTATTGATATTATAGTATAGTGTAACTATTAACCTTAAAAGAGAAGATGTCTATGGAGACCATTAACAATTTCTCTTCTATTCTCATTATCATACATGTAAAGTACATATGTAAAATCGGTCAATATGCACTATGTAAAATAAAAGTGTAAGGCGGTTAGAGACCGCTACTTTAATCTTTAGAAGCTATAAACAAAGTTGTGTATGTCATTGAATTTTTGATTTATTAATAGACGTTTAGGTGACTTTAAACTTGTTATCATCAGCTTCAGTCTACATTAATGTTACAGCTGGTAAAAACGATACTTTTATCTATTATATTAAACTGGATAAAAAGATTTTAATTCAATGGTATTATTTTGCAGCTCATGCAGGTTACAAAATCGTTATACCTAAGTTCTATAACAACAATACTTGTGTTTACAAACAATATACTGTGGTACAAAGAGTTATTATAAAAGTAAATTTCATTTTTATAGGATAACACACAGTACACCTATGTAATTGTCTGTCCTAGATATCTACATCTATCCTCGATTACAAATAAAAATACAGATGCGTTGTCACCCGTGAGGACTAAGATGGAATGCCTCGTTTCCAGTAAAAAGGCTCTCCGGTTCTCTACACTCACCATACGAAACATAGCAGCATTAAGCTATTATTTAAGGCTGGAATTCTGTGAGAGCGTGGTCCTTTCCCGGTCAAGCCGATACATTCGTGGTACAACTGTAACTATGAAACGGTATATAACCGCAGCATGGCTTTACCACGCATAAATAATATCTGATATACATTTATTACTTAACCCTTCACAAGCATCCTACATAGTATTAAAAATTAAATTACGATCACACGTTAATTTTAATTAAAACAATGTAAGACCGCTGCTTGAAGTGAACTTCCCACGAAAAATTCCAATTCTCATTAAGTAACAACTGTTTCACACCTGTGAAGTGATCCAGATGTGCGCCTGACTCTCCGAAACGCAACAGCTATTGCGAAATATTTCATGTTATAACATTCCAACGTATTTATTTACAACTTCGCCTAATTTTATACTTGCTAATATTTTATTAATGTTACCACGAATTAAATTACACAACGATTTCTTTCGATTTTCCTGTTTACAAGCTTTATTTTTATCACCATAACTTTAATACGGTTATATTACGTATAGCGTACTTTAGAATAAAGTTTTTAATACTACAAAGACTATATTAACTTATGATATATCGGACAATATTAATCTTTTTTTAAACAGAGTGATGAATATGAAATTAATAATACGTCATCGTTTCGTAATATAAATAACACATAGCCAAAAATGGTTTCGCTGACCTACGAATTGAGACAGTACGTAAGGGCTTATAAGTTATAACGTATATTCCAGTTCTATCGAAGGTGAACGAGTTCAACGCCTGACATGGTCGCAAGAACGATTTATGTAAAATAATTTACCGTTGCACCATGATTGAAATTATAAACAATGTAGACGTTCGAGCACAAGGTCGGACTAACCATAATTTTCAATAAACAAATCCTGAAATAGTGAACGTAATTATTTTATAGAAGATTCGTGATCATACCGTCGCGTCGCGTCGTTGAATTCAAGTACAAACACATAAACTATAAAAACTGTTACTGCCTTGGCTTTTAAATATTAATATGATGCTAAAACAAAAACCTGTTCATAATTACTTGTATTGTAATATGCAGGCAGAACCTTAAATGCTGACCCTGCAGATTCATAATTTATAATTAAATAAATTGTAAAAGAAATCATAGCATGGTATTAAAAAAAGACAAGAGTATTTACCGGTTCTTATCTTAGAAGGGCTTGTATTTGCGAACCGGTATAGATTTGGAAGTTCATAAGAGCAATAAAGAGTTCTAAATTGAGGAGTTTCTAGCGACTGACTCATGGTGAAAAATCAATTTAGTAATTTTGTTTCAAATTTAACAGGCTGTTTACTTTTTTAGCAGAATTACCAAAGCAAGAATATCAGTTCTCAATATCACAAACCCGTCTGCGGTTTGAAATCGCAGAACTTATTAATTTCGAAGAATTAGCACATAGTATGGAAAATATTATAATAATATTTATTTTATTATATATCGCTGGCTGGCTCGTTATTGGGGAGGTATTTGCCACCCTGTGTTGATGTTACGTGAAATATGGATTATATAATGTTAAATTATGTATGTATTATAATATTCTATGTGTAAAATAAACAGAGTATACTTATAAGCATTAGAGAGTCGTGTCTAAATAGCAAAATGGAATATAGTGAATCACGAATTAACTACATTTCATTTTAACATTAAGCTTAACAGCACATTTTACGTAATACGAAACGGATCCAACTTTGCTTAAATATTAAATATTATTTAGAAAATAATTTTCATTAAAAGGAGTCTTTATTGGGGTAAAAACTAAAAACGGTTCTTTAAATATTCAAGTTCATTCCTGGAATACGTGCAAAAACAAACAGAATTAATCAAAAGTTAAGGCTAGATTGCTAATATATATACACGCTAAAAGCTACGAGTGAATGATAATAGCAGCGTGTATGACAAGTATAACATTAGTAATATATACATATTAGCTTGCCAGGCAGATGTTGTTCTGCCCTTTTCGACGACTCTGTCATGTCGTATTAAAAATCTTTAAATTCGCAAAAAAAATTGTGGGTCACTCATGGGCAAAAAAAAACTATCCTATCTCTCAAGTTGGACCAAACTGCACACTGTGTGCAAATTTGATTAAAATCGGTTAATTAGTTTAGGAGTCCATCGCGGACAAACCACGTAACACGTAATTTATATACATATATTAAGATTTATAATATTAGCTTTAAAGAAAATTAATCAATACAATTGTTAAAAAAAGGTTGTTTCAATATTTATTTTTACATTTCATTTGACACAAAAGTACGATTCTAAGAGAAAACTATGTACAAATATGTAAAATTAACAAGTAAGAAATACAAAACGATGCAGATAAAAAGTAATTGCGGAACCAATCGTACCGAATTCCAAAAACTGCTCATCAGTTTCGCATTATATTCTAAACAATCGTCTGGAATTCAAAAAAAAATTGTTTCATTTAAACTCACGTTCGATTCTAAAATATGGCGTTTGATATGAAATACTAAAGTTTAATATAATATACACAATACACTTGTATGTGGAGTTGTTTTGAGTACACGCTGTGCGTGTTACCAGTTCAAAGTGAAGCCAATAAGTATAATTATCTATATATTATATCAGAATGTGACCTAGTTGCACGCTAGAGTTGGAATGCATCGAATTAATTCAGATATTATATACTTTTTAATGATATTGATGGTTTTTTTTACCGTATAATTTTAAAAGAGATATATGTATATATAAACTTATGGTTTTAAAATAAAGTCTAAAAAATAAAAAGAAGGAATAATTTTCAAAAAAGTGTGTGTAACCTTTAAGGCACCTTGTTAAGCATGGAAAAATTGTAGGAAACTTGGAAACGCGAAACTCTGAAAAGATCTTCTTATATTACAGATTTATAAAGGACAGGTTTTCAACTCTAATTATTTTAAAGACAAAATATAAGGGACTTTTGCATCGGCCAAACGAAGGGTTTTCCAAATAAAATTCCACATTATACCTAATGCCGAAACCGACAGCAAGTTGTTATGGAATACAACTAATTTTACGGATTTTATTTTTAACTTTCGACGTTCTATTCAATTATAATATTCGAATACAACATATATACGTGGTAGAGTCACGCTGCAGCAATATTATGGTTGTAGCACGAATGGGTCGGCTAGACCGGGGAAGGACCACGCTCTCACAGAATACCAGCGTAAAATAGCAGCTTAATACAGCTGTTTTTCCTATGATGAGTGTAGAGATCCGGAGACTCTTTTTTTGCTGGAAACGAGGCATTCTACTTTAGTCCTCAGGGGTGACAACGCATCTGCGTTTTGACTCTTAATCGAGGATAAATGTAGATGTCTATGGGCCGCAGCATCCACTTACCATCAGGTGGACTGTGTGCTCGTTTGTCACCCTTATTCTATAAATTATAATAATATAAGAAACTATTAAGCAAATTATTACTCAACTACAAAATGTATAACATTAATCCCAGAAATAGCTTTGACTGTTTTTCTAGGATCTATGTATGATATTCGGTTCAATTAATTATTTTATGCCGCAATGCTCGCCTATGGAATAGCAGTTCCTAATTATTGCTAGTTCGAAGTAACATAATGTTACGATTACGAGTATTCGAATTTATGTTATTTTACTTCTAGGCACAATGTCACCAAAATTGGTGGTTCTACGAAATTAAATGGTACCTAACAGTAGTTTTATCACAGACATTTTAAGCGGCTTTTCTAATTTCGCGTCGTTAACGGTAACGCGGCCCGGTTTCCGGTTTGCGGGCAGGCATTCCGTGGGCCGTGTCGTCATCAATTATTGTTTGTGCTGCAGGGACCGACGCTTATACCTATGTGCGTTTAGCAAACAAGACTCATAAATAGGTCAAATCAAGCGAGAATTTACTTAAAATCGGTGAATTAAGTAAGTCAAGCTTGTGAACGCCGTTAGTGACAAGTGGGCGGTTGCTGTGAGTGGAAAATTTACCCATTTTACGCAGAGAAAATTTTTCAATAACAATGAAATAACGCCTATTCGTTTCAATTCCTCTCTTGTATTTGGCATAGTTGCCATGCTTGGCAGACGGGTTGGCAACCGTAATTTTTATTTTATCTTCTAGTTGTTATTTGCAAAACTCTGCTGTCCCTCTAGTTTATTTCCCTCTGTCGGCTCTTACGACACCCACGGAACGATATGGGGTAGTGTATATTCTTACACCGCCACTACATATTAATTTTATAATAACCTCAATAGCAGAACATCAATCAAAACTTCAAAAGTCTTTCGTCTCAACGTCTTCAAGCACTCCCTTTGCATAACTACGTCTTAATTGAACATGCGGATTATGATATCAAATTAAATGAAAATACGTGAGGTAATTTAATTATAGTATGATTTTATCATTATAATTGTTACCAATTAATTTCTTTGTTTCATATTTCTTACAGATTTAGTTTTTATTGAAATTGTTAAAAAAGTGTTGTAAAAGAGATTTTCATGCACAGCATATATTCTTCTCCCTATCTTGAGGTTTTGTGAACGGAAGTTAATTACTTTTTAAAATGTTTTGAAATTATGAAGTGTCCGTTCTATTGCAATAATTGTAATATAAATTATTTAAAAAAAAACTAGTAATTATTGTAAAAGTTTCATACGTGTTGATTCATAGGCCATTTTTAACAATGTCCTTTCGTTCGCCAAACGCTAACATGTTTTTAACCTACTGTAGTTTCAAAATGAGATTTGTCTACTAGAAAAACAAATGGCCAAAGAAGCTCTTCCTTTATGACAATTTAAAAGCCATTCATACAATATAGAAAAAGAATTAATAATTGAAACACGTTTTGATAATAAAATTATACAAAATTAAACTTTATAAGCAGACAAAACCCTACAAGCAGCAGAAGTATTACGTGTGTTAAGGGGAAATATAACCTCAAATGGCTTAACAAGATCCTTCGTTATACCGAAAGTATTGCAGCATTAATTTTGAAATAAATATATGGTAAAGTTGAGGATTAATGTTAAGGACTATGTTAGATGAAAACACGATTCCGTAAAATTTTCTCGATAGAAAAAAATCCAAAGTTACCTCCAAACTGAACAATAAACCGCTGTGAATAACGTTCAGTTAGTATGCAAAGTTTCATGAATAATGAAACTTTGCATACTAACTGAACTAACTATAAAGCAGTGCTTATGTTATTTACTTTTTTTAAAATACCATTATTTTCACTGTAAAAAGAAATTACCTAAACTATCGGCGTCTTGAAGCTTGATTCCTGCCGCCCGGCAGTATCGCTTCGGCTTTTGAAGGGAGAATTTGTGTCGCTTACGATCAGAATACATTACGCAACAGGACGACGTAAAATTAAAATGGGAAATAACCGTAATAAAAATAAGAGGCGACTGGGTTGGCGTTAAGAAACAGGTATAAATATGATAAACCTAATGAAATAAGTATCTAACGACCTATCTACTTACAGTATTAGTGATTACAAACATGTCGGTACATAGCATACGACGCGCGGGAAGGTGGGGGCGAAATAAGAATTTGAGCTGACTTACTATATCCCCTTAAGTGTTAAGTGTATTACGCACGCGACAGCAATGGTCCTTCGCGACTTTTTCTTTATATTTTACCAAATTACAATATTTTTAAAACTTGAGACACCAGGAAATAAAGAACTTAAATTGGCATCTTCCTTCCAGTAAGAGTAGTGCAGGCTGTCCACTAGACTAGATGAAGTATAAACAACGTACTCTAACACATCAAAAGTAGGTTCCTCGACACGAGCAGCCGCAGTTCATAATAAGAACATATTTAACCTTATTTCTGTAAGTCTTCAGAAGTGACGAGCAACCTTCCCTTGATCGAAGCTTGTTATAGATGTGCTCGTGTTGCACTTACTGCCAAGTAAACTCTGTGCTCATTTTTCATTTTAATATAAAACGGGCGTAAAAACAAAGGAAACCTCAAGTACAAACAATTCATATGAAGTGATATACAAAAACCAAAACGTGAACATTATAAAACATCGATCTTAGATAGTGGAGACTATTTTAAGATAGGTATGCGGCTATACACCAACTGTCTCTAAGTGCATCGTTTGTTTATAAGGAGTGGTGAATGGCTATTCAGAGACGTAAGCTTGCGGCAATCCTTCTCGAGCTGTCGAGAGTTCTTTCTTTTAATGTTTACACGAAAGATCCGCTTGAAGTTTAAAATGTGCTGGTGAATTGTATCACATCCGTTCCTAAATTCGGTGTT